TATATGTTCCATCACCTTTTATTTATCAAATAAATATGTCCATTTTAATAACTGAAATTCTTCTATCTTCTAAAACCAAAGAAAAATTTCGCACTGGTTAGAATATCATGCAATAAAGCCAGGTCTCTAAAAAAATTAATTATTGCAAATACTTTATTACAATTTCTGTTAAATACTCAAGTCTTTGGCCACCAATTAAGGTCCAAATACTTCATTATCTCAATTCCAAGTTCTTAGATGTTATTTAATTCTCTAGTATTTATTTGATATGAGATAACAATTCAAAAAAATTTTTTAATGTTAAGCAGTTTTACTTGGTTTATCTTTCTAACTATATCTCATCCACAGATAACTAAATACAAGGGAGACAGCATTAAATTAAAACGTTAAGAAGTTTCTCTAGAATTCAGCTGAGACAAGACTTTTTTCTCCCTACCACTATACTTGTACCATCTGTACAAAATTCATAAGTTTTTTTATGTATATATTTCTCATTAAAACCATTTTTCTTGAGCATGACAATAAAGTTAATATATTTCAGATGTTGTCCCTTCTAGCTCCATGAAATAGAAAGAAACCATCACACTATCTTCAAAGTCTTGAATCCTGCATTTTTAAGTAAATTATTAAAACACTTCTATGTGAAATGGCAGGAGCTTTGTCAATGACTGAAGTTTTACTACTCTGGTTTATAAGTTTTCTAAAATGCGTTTTTTCATCTTAGTAGATACATGTTTGTAATATTCAGGACCATAAATCTAAACTGACATGATATATTCATATAAAAACAATTTTTGAAGTCCTACTAAATACTTTACGTCAGAAAATTATTTTAAAGTGTACAATATAGCATATTGATACTTCATAAATATTTTTTCCTTTGCTCTGTCAAAACTCTAAGTTATTACTTCAATTTCTTTTTAAAACTGACTCACGTTTATATTTTTTATGGAATGGTTTTTCATTCTAGACATACAAATCATTTGTTCTAGGTTTGTATTCTTGCATAGTATCAAAAGATATTCTTGGCTATATTTTATTACTTTTATTTACTTTTTTGTTTTCTCACAGCATCAAAATATTCATATTTATTATATTTAAAAGAAGAAAACTTATCCAAACTTTGTTTCCTCTTCATTTATAATAAAATACTTCATTAAATTAATTCTTGAGCTTATAAACATCAAATATCACACACTACTAACCCAAGAATTATAATGCATAAACATGAAAGAAACCACAGTAAGACCCATTTAAAATTCAACTATTTAAAAACAATGGCAATTAGAAAGTCTGAAGATGATACACTGACGATTCTCGTAAAACACAGAAGCTTTCAGCTTCATGATGAGTGTACTGTGGAGAGACGCCACTCATTGCCACCAAGACACAGGCTGGAGAGACAGATAGTGAGTGCTTCAAAAGGGGACCCCACTACATCCTATAAAATTAGCTTGGGCTACTGAGCTTACATTGAAAATTATATCATTAGTTTTACCACTTCTCACAGTTACTACTATATTATTCATCAACTGATAAGAAAGAGTTTCAATATTTTATCAACCAGTAGCATCACACTACCCTCAAATGGTTATAGCAATGATGTTAAATGACCCTAATTTTTCCCTAAACTATCACTCAAAGACCACTAATATTTTCCATTCTGAAGCTTGCCAACTGGACGTGATTTTCAGGTTTTTTTTAAAGTAAAAATACCCAAAAAAGGAGATTTCAATAAAGCACAATCTAAGAAGGGAAAACCATGAAAAGTTAGTTTTCCATAGTAGTACTGCTACATTTAAACCATGCTGCCAGCAAAACATTCCCCTAGCAGGCACCGGCATCAGCACCATCACTGCCTCCACCACTGTCATACCATTTACCAGTTAAATAGTAGCAAAACAGTCACCCCAGATCACAGAAAAGTAAATGAACACACATAAATCGACTTACATTCTCAGTAGTATCATGCCCTTCTCTCTGCCTAACACCACCGTTCAATGGTTCCCCTCAGATAAAAACCCAAATTTTCCAGCCAGGCCGCCAAGACTGACAGATCTCTCTGTTCTCCTGGCCTCCCCTCCCTCCCCTTCAGCTTGCAGCTCTCATGCCACTTCCTTAGAGAGATCCCCTGTCACTCCAACCTGAGCTCTGCACCCCTTCCTCGCAGCACTTTCTGCCATGTGCAGTGACATGTGTATTCACGGGATTCTTTATTGTTTGCCTACTGACTAGACAATCAGCTCCGTGCAACGTGCTTGTTCACAGCAGTACGTCCAATACCTGGCATGATGCCTGACCACGGAAGGCGCTAGGTAAATATTTGTTGAATAAATGAATGGGTAAATAAATTACTAAAGGCCCTATGCTTACGTAACAGAATGGCCAAAAGTGAAACAGGACTTTTGATTTTTTAAAAAACACATTACTATAGTCAAAGAAATACCCGTATTAGTCCAAGAACAAATACGTACACAAATAAAGATTACACAAATAGAGCACACGCCTGGCATCCTCATGTGACTTAGCTTGGACACTGGTGCACACAGAAGGCCATGAGGCCTGTTTCCCAGCTGCCCCCACCACTAGCAAAGGGTTATCCCTGTTCTGCCCCAGACTGTGGGGCAGAGGGAATGACTGCGGCAGAGGAAAGACACAACACAGCCAAAAGGCAGAGGGCTCGAATCCTAACAATGGATAACCACACCTGTCTTCTAGGTCTCAGCTTCACAAGTAAGTCCAATTCAAGATGAACCTCTTGTTACCATTACTGCAAAATCAAACATTTCAGGGAAGAAAAACCCTTGTCAACTCAGGCCAGCCAGTTTTTGTCAGGTACCACCACAGACACTGGCATCCTGAAGAAACACAGGGTAAACAATAAGGAAGACAGGAAAATAAGTCCCTCGGAGTCAGCACAGGGCCAAAGACAGAGCCTCTGGAGGAGGGGCTGCCCAAAGGCCCCAAGAGATAGAGACTCTGGGTACAGTTAAGACATACCTGCAGAAGCAAGTGGGCCGCCAACCCTGGCAAATAAGGACAGGAGGGTCAGATGGCTTGATGAGAGGAGATGAGAAAGTACACACACAAGTAGAATGCACTTGAGCTTATGGTCACTGCCAAGTGACAACAGGGTGTAAAGTGCACTGTATCAGTGGGAAAAGCAGAACAGAAATGAGCCTTTCTGAAATGGAAAGAGCTGAAGTACTACGAGCCACGGGCCCTGCGGACGCTGCAGACGTCAGGGAGGGAGAGAGTGAGCTAGGTAAGCCGTCTCTGAAACATGTGAAGGTGTGACTGTAGGTCGGTAAGGTCAGCAGAAAGTAGGGCAGAGGTAAACAATGTAAAAAAGAGGAAACTAGAATGAAGACCGCAGAATGAAATCATCCTTAGTTCCACAAACTGGAAGAGATGGGAAAAATAGTGAAAAAAACACATGAGTTTAAAATCGGATTCAGTGAAGGCCAGGTGGTGGGGGGAGTACTTGAGGACAAGGTCAAATGTGCAAGGAGTTTTGTCTGTAACTTGATGGGGCTCCAGAGTAGAAGGGCCAACAGTGCAAACTTAGCAGAACTGGCCAGGCAGGGCTGGCTGGGATGAGAGCCTGAGGGGGACCAGACGGAGTGAGGCCGTAGGAGGCAGACATTCAAGGTACAAACCATTACCCAGAGCTCACTACGCACCAGGCTTCAAGGCAGAGGTACAAAGATGAAGGAGATAAAGCAGGTACTGGCAGCCCAGGGTGTCAGTGAGCTCCCAGCAAACTTGCCCAGCCTGCCCATCTCCCTTGGTCACGGCTGAGCAAGCCAAGCTAGGCCTGTCAGATTCTCTCTTCTGAAAATTTAAAACCTTTAAAAGAGACAGACAGTGGCTGGAGTCAAGTCACTCCATAACACCCCTGAAAGAACACTCACGTTAACTCCCATTGATACTGTGCTTCTCCTCTCACAACACGTGGCTACTCAACTCTTCTTTGCTCCTGAGAACTACTCCTGCCCTATCCTATATAATCTCTCCATTTTTGTCTTTTTTTTCGCCATAATAATTTCTATTGCTCATAACCAAAGTATCTTATCTGATTCAACACGGCCTCTGCCTGTAGCCAATTTGCTGAGCTTATAAATGAGTAATCTGAGGCCCTGGGAGAATATTTTTTCCAGATTACAAAGATAAGAGGGTCAAGACCAAAACCCAGTTTGCCCAATTTAAACAAACACCAAAAAATTTATAATCTCAATAACTTGAAATAAAATCTAGGTAAAGAGGCATAACATAAAAGGCTAATAAAACAGGAAGAGATGGGGGTGGGTAAAGAATAAGAAAGAGCAACTTATCACTCAATAGTTGCAAATTTTCATATTCATTATAATGTGAAGTCTGAGTAATCAACGCAAGAGGAGTTCTCTAAAGGTTTGATATATCAGCCATCATATTAATATTTAGATTTAAAAAAAAAGGAAGGAAAGCAAAGAAATGTCAACAAACAGACAAAATCATAAGGGCCACACATATAATACCAGAACATTTTTGGCACTCATCACATGCTTAAACATTTGTTTTGGTATCCTTCACCAAATATTTCTGGACTATAAAATCTTTCTCATATTTCCTTGACCTTCCAAGACTTTGTTACTATTTTACCTTCATCTTTCCTCAGAATCTTTGTGAAGCTGGATTTCCTTTGTTTTCCTTACAAATGTCCTCTTCTAAAACTTCTATTTTTTTGGTTTTTTTTTTTTTTTGAGACAGAGTCTCACTTTGTTGCCCAGGCTAGAGTGAGTGCCATGGTGTCAGCCTAGCTAACAGCAACCTCAAACTCCTAGGCTCAAGCAATCCTCCTGCCTCAGCCTCCTGAGTAGCTGGGACTACAGGCATGTGCCACCATGCCCGGCTAATTTTTTCTATATATATTAGTTGGCCAATTAATTTGTTTCTATTTATAGTAGAGACGGGGTCTCGCTTTTGCTCAGGCTGGTTTTGAACTCCTGACTTCAAGCAATCCACCTGCCTCAGCCTCCCAGAGTGCTAGGATTACAGGCATGAGCCACCGCGCCTGGCCCCTAAAACTTTCAGTTTATTAATCTTTCTCTAGCTTTGGCCTATACACTAAACATTAATCTTTCCTGTTTCCTTGGTGCTTGGTATTTCCCTATCTATTTATTCCCTCATTAATGCAAGACAATCTTAATTGGTACAGTCTAACAAATTCTTTCTCTGGCACTGCCTCAGAAACAATAGGAGCTCTCTAAATAAAAACATTAACAAAGGTGATCTATGTTGTTAACACTGCATATAAATACCACATGTGCTTCCATGAAGCTATTCATTTTTCTTTGAAAATAAGTTTTCAGTAAAAATGGGAATCAAGACTCTTACTTATATCCCAGATGGCCCAAACTCACGATGATCTATGTGTATAGCCACTAGCCTCATTATGAAATACTTAAGGTAAATATAACCATTGCACAGAAAAGGAAACTATAATATACATTAAAGAATTTATTTAATTAAAGAAAAACTAGAACAAATCTAATATGTAACATATACCAAACCAGACTGGAAATGCAAATTTCTCCTTGACCTATGTATCAGAAAACAAATAAAATAATTCTTTTTTAAAAATGTAGCATTTTATTGACTTCAAACTTAGAAGAAAAATGTATAGCGACTTATGTCACTTAGCTCTTTACTTACTGTCTTTCTAATAATCACACAAATTCAGTTCCATGTACACGTGGATTGTGTGAAAACACCTACTTGCACTCAACAGAATGAAAATAACAAATCTTCATGAGGTTTAAACCAAGACAACAAAAAAACTTCTGAGGATAAAGAACATCATGTATCTTTCAACCACAACAATTCTAAATGGATAAATGCTAGTTGCTTTGTATCCTAAAGCAGCGGCTCATAACAGAGCAGATTTTACTTGCCCACCTGTCCCCAGGAGACATTCTTCAACATCTTGAGAAATCTTTGGCGTCTTGAGACATCTTTGGCAGTTAACAACCGTGCAGGGAGCAGGGCGCCACTGGCATCGAGGGGTCAAGGCCAGAGGTGATACTCAACACCCCACAGCAGTGCCCCTCACCACAAAGACCCAGCCAGCCTCAGCTGGGCTGAGACACTGCCCTACGCGAGAGCAGCTGAAGGAGTAACCCTGAGTCACTGTTGGCCAAGGCCCGTCCAATTCTGCCAACCTACCTTGGATGCCTGGGGCGTGGATATCACATGGACCGTGCTGGGTCTGACGCCATTTGCCTTGGGCCGCTTATAGAGAGCAAACCTGCTTTTCCTCCGTCCTCGGTCTCCATTAGGTAAAGCACCATTGTACCTAGAAAGAGGGATGAAAGGGTTCGTTTATTGGCAGATTTTAAAAGTTTTAAGCATCAAAGTTAGAGGGAATAAGGAAAAGACAGGAACGGCCATAAAGAACTGCCCACTAACACTCCAACAAAGTAAAGGGTTGCAAAACAGACTAAAGCTGTAATGAAATTCAGATCGCTTCCAGAAACTTAATTTAAGAGTGATGTGTAAGCATAGGTTGCCTATTCTATCTATAAAGTCAGACTCTTCATATCTTTTTGGAAAGAGATGGAGTATGAATAAACCAATGAGTACTCTGCAGAGGCTGTATTAGTGCTGGCTCAATTCAGCCAGCACCATTCTAATAGACCCCAGAGAAACACTTGAGACATATTTTTAAATGAACTAGTTAGAAAATAGCAAACTAATTAAACCTCATCTCTCACTTTTAAATCATGTTAATGTTGTCTGTAGGATCTTTATTTGTAAAAAGACCAAGTTTAATTACTTGCTTTCTTAAAAGTTCTGGATTCTCTACATTCATCCCCATTTCTGTCTGAACCCTACACTATCGGGTTAGCAAAAAATAGCCTGCAGAAATTAAATACTTTTTAAATTTTCCAACTGTCTTTTCTAACTCCAGATTAATTGGCCCCTGTATGTTCCCTGTTGCCACACTGACACAACTATTCTCTGCCTCCACCTTGGCAGAAACTCTTTTCAAGAAAAAAAAACCTAAAAGAAGGGAAGGAAATCATTTAAAATCTACATGGATAAATATGACTGCTCCCAGGTTCCCTCAGGACACCAAAGTTAGGGGAAAACAAGGCTAGTGGCTTATGCCTGTCCTGTCTTGTCCAGCAGACCCCTGGGACTTCTCCAGCCACACCCAAGAGAAGAGAGTGGCCAGGCAGGGGAAGCGGGGGTGTGAGGCCCACTGGAGATCAGCAGAACAAAGGGGTTTTGTGTGTTTGTTTTACCAGTCAAGTCATAGCTACAGTCTGACAATGGTTTTAGATTATCACCGGAAGTCATTCCTACTGTGTTTTAAATCTGTTTTCATTTCTATCACCAAAGAATGTCAGCTATATTAAAAATGTCTCTAAAATAAAAAGATAATTTATTGCAAGTCTTATTCCTCTCTTTTTCTCAGGCAAGATCAAAATAATGTACATAATTTTCTTAAACATATTTGTGATCACTACTATGAAGTATACATGAGTCAACAACCATTGCAGTCCCACTTTGTTTTAATATATTTCCACATCACTTAAATCAAGATGAACATTCTATATTAAAGGAAACATATGTGAACCAATTAAAGTCAGGACTGTAAACAACTGAGAGGAACATTTTCACTACTGTGGGCTAGAGACAATGAGCACAAATCTGGAAAGGTTTTCCATGTCCTCACTTTTACCCAGCTCTGTACTGCATCTTTCCCTCAACTACAAGCTCCTGGTCAAGATGGCTGGCCCAGGAAGAGTGCTGCGGACACTTCTTAGGCTTTCTGCTCACAACTATACTGCCTACTCTGGAATCTACTCCTTCAGTCCCAAAGGTGAGCCCCAGTACCACATTTGAACGCAGTGGCCACGCCAGCATCCTCCCCACCGCCCTGGAGCTGATTGGCTGGAGGCTGACATCTGGCCCAAGCTGGCCAATGACATCCTCATCCTGGAAAATACAAAGCTGGAACAGAGAGACGGCTGTCCATTCTCTATCGGTGGCTAGAGCTGTAAAATGTAAACACAGGAGCTGTGGGGATGTCACCGTCTGTTACATGGCAAAAGCAGCAGACAAAATGAAGAATGAAGCAGACAGAGACAAACAGCAAAAATAAACAGAAAGAGGATCCTGAAGGTTTCTATTGGCCAGAGGTACTCTTACCCTTCTTTATGAAATCCCTTTTAGTTTCAACTAACTCGGGTTACTTTCTACTACATACAACCCAAAAGCCATTATCTAACATAAAAAGAAAAAAACAGAAATGTCAACTTGAACATAGGCAGCGACATTTTAATTTAAATTGCCTGAGCATAGATGCACAGATATTGCAGGTTAAGCAAATAATAAGCTAGTCTATTTACAGACTGCCTACTTACTTAATACATCTAGATGAAAAATCCTGTTGGAAATAATTACGGTAGTAGTGGAAAAACCAGTGTCAAGATAGACAAGTTTCTAATTAGGTTAAGCTACATGCTCATTCATTCAACATTTATAATGCCAAGTTCTAGAGCTACAACGATGAATATCGGCTTTCCTGCCTTCACAGAGCTCTCGGCTTAGGAAGGGAGAAAGGCACAAAACCAGGTGTAGTACGACAGACAAGTAACAAGATGCGCTAATAGCACAAAGCATACAGCAAGAGGCATTGGGAAGGCTTCATGGAGGAGACACTGCTTGAACTGTCTTAAAATCTCAGCAAAATGACTCCATGGCAACACAGGGCAGGAGCATGTACAAGGCCAGGAGGACTACAGGTAGTTTAGTATTGCAGGAGCACAAAGTTCAAGACCAAAAGGAGCAGGGGCAAGGAGGGTAAAAGGCAGAGGCCGGATTCTACCAGCCTAGAGCTTCACAAGGGGCACAGCTTTTCACCCTGAGGGGACAGGGGAGCCTGGTGAGAGTGAAGTGAATGGCTAACATGATTGGGAACAGAGAATGAGGGCTAGGGCAGCACAGGACAGACTAGAGGCAAGATGCCCAGAAAGGAGAGCCATCATGGCCACAAGAGGACATGGAGTGGGCTGAATGGTGGCCCCAAAAAGACACATCCACATCCTAGGCCCTGTGAATGTGACCTTCTGGAAAAGGGGTCTTTGCAGATTTAATTAAGTTAAGGATCTCAAGATGAGGTTGCCATGGATTACTCGGGACCCCTAAATCCAACAGCGAGTGTCTCTGTAAGAGACACACAGGAACAGAAAGGAGACGGCCATGTGGGCATGCAGGCAGAAACTAGAGACATGAAACCACAGCCCAGAAACACCCAGGGCCACCAGAAGCTGGAAGAGGCAAGGAAGGATGCTCCTCTTCGGAGGTAGCACAACCCTGCCGACAGCTTGATTTCAGACTTGTGGCTTCCAGAACTGTGGAGAATAAATTCTCTCATTTTTAAGCCACCCAGTTCATGGTATTCGTTATGGCAGCCACAGGAAACCATAAAGGCTTAAACCAAAGCAGCAACGGTAGAAATGAGTTGGAGGGTTAGAGAAAAGCCTTAGAGTTGTTTCCAGTATGAAGTGAACATCAGAATCACCTGGGAAGCTTTACAAAAACATGGGCACCTAAGTCCCAAGGGATTTGACACAGTAAGTTGGGATGGGGCTCTGGGACTGCATTTTTGCAAAGCTCCACAGGTGATGCTTACACACAGCCACAGTGGAGAACCCTGGTTTTAAAGCTACATTAACAGCATTTTGTAACCTGTTTGGATGCACAGGGTGAGTGACAGATGAAGAGAAAATCACATAGACTTCTGGCCTGGCCAGGTTGATGGCATTATTATAATAGAAACAGGAGGAGGAATTACAGGGACATCCAGGAGATGTGGGAGGCAACTGGATAGACAGGTCTGGAGGTCCATACAAGTTATAGACCTGGGGGCCTTCACCATAGAGGTGGCAGTTAAAATCATGACAATAGATGGAAGGCTAGGACAGAACCTAGGAAAAGATACCTTTTAAGGAAACAACCCCTTCTTAGTCACAGGCAAGAGGACCAGGACCAGGAGAAAGATATATTACCAAAGACGGGAGAAGGCAAAATTTCAACAGTGTTTAATCAGTGAAGAGGTCAGTTTAGAGAATGAAAATGCACAACCATGATTTGGAAAAGAATGGGTCATTGGTGACCTCACCCATCTTCAAAACAAAGCAAAACAAGCAAATGTCTCCAACCGTAAGCTTCGCTCTGAGCCTCCACACACATTCCCATCTTCTCAAGAAGCCAAGAATCTTGAAAAGTATTCCACACCCATTATTCCACATCCAACACTTGCTGGCTTTTCAGTCCACTATTGACGCTGTTTGCCCCTGAATCTAAAAGTACATTTGATCCTGTGTCACAACACCCAGCACACAATCCAAGCTTCCCTCTTTAAAGTCTCCCAGTGGCAGCACTATCAAGGAACCCAGGTGGTAGACTGAAGAGGGTTACTTCTCCCACTGAGAGGTGTAGTCTAATTCCTCTCTCCCTAAATATGGGCTAGCCCTAGTGACTCGCTTACAAATGGGATATAGAGGAAATGATCCTCTAAGACTTCTAAACCCAGGTGTGAAAAAGCCTTGCAGCTTCTGCTGGGTCTCCTGGGAGCCCAGAGCTGCCCCATAAAAAACCCAGCTACCCTGGGACCACCATGCTGAGAAGGCCACACATAAGCACTCTGGTCAGCAGTCCCAGCTGAGTCCAGCCTACTAGCTAGCCAGCTAAGGCACCAGCCATGTGAGTGTAGTCACCATGGACTCTGCAGACCAGCCCATCCATCAGCTGACCACCACCAGGTGACCTCAGCTAACACCACATGTGGCAGAACCGCCCAAACTCCTGACCCACAGAATTGTGCAATAAATAACAGGGTAGCTGTTTTAAGCCACTAAGTTTTCAGATAGTTGGTTACATAGTAATAGATCTTGGAATAAAAGGCTCCAAACCCTCAGCATAGTCTTCTTCCTCCCCTCTCCAGTCCGCCCTTGCTTTACTGGTCCCCAATCTATCTCAAGTCCAGCACTGTCTCCTCCTGAAAACTATCACCAAATCTTCCCGTACCCCCTTCCCACCCTCCATCTGGCTCCTCAGACCCCTAGGGAATGTGAGTTCCAAGACAGTGGGGCTTTCTGTATCTCTGGCACCTGGCACAGTGCACCGGGAATACATAGTAGGCACTAAAAACCTCCCAGCCAGCTAGATGACAAAAGGACCATTACCTTAGTCCGTTTGTTTGGCTGCAACGGAATACCTGAGGCAGGGTAATTTATTAATACAAAGAACAGAGATTTATCTCTTACAGTTCTGAAGGCTGGG